GAACTAGATAGTGAAATAAACTACTAGCTGGATCTATTATGTTCTTCCTCTCAACCATTCTTTTCCTTTCTCACATGGCATTTGGTCTTTCATTACAGAACACAATCTTGTTATATATTATTAAAAATATTTCTGATGATATACTAAATAAATGTAGTGCAGACCAGTCTAGACTAAATGTCTATCCCACAGTCACCTCTGTGACCCTGGTTTCATTTCCAGTCTTGAATTCCTAACACAAACTTTCCACAGCTCAAGAAAGTGGGAGCCCTTCAATCTCCAGTACTCAGAAGTGGACTGCCACAGATTTAAAATTACCTCCAGCAGCTAAAAGAATCTGCCAGACATAGTCCGTATTTTGCATTACTAAACTTCATCACATCATAAGGACAAATGCCTTCTTTGCCATTTCACTCCCCTGTGATTCTGTCCTTTACAAGATGGAGAGCTTTGAGATTTAAAACTGTCTTCTCCTAAGAACAAAACTGGGGAAATTTAATGCTATGAGAACTCATTATTATGGTTATGAGACCCTCCTACTCAGCTTAGTTACTGTAGTTATCCTTTAAGTACAGTACGGTAACTCACAGTAACCATTCCTAACAGCGACAGTGTTTTTCTTGTACTGTATGACAACAAAAAAAATTCATTAACTTAATGAAGCAACATTCTTCATATTTACATCACTTTAAGGGAAGACAGAGGTGACATCTCTATTTAGCCTACTGGGCCACTATTACATATTGTTACTACTAAAATCCTGGGAAAAGAAGTCCAGCTTCTTCAATGTTATACAAAGATCTTTCCTTTTTTAATCTATCTTCTTAAGACTCTTAGCAATACTTTTACACCAATTTCTTCTTTCATTTCAACACCTCTTGAATTTTTACTTATCTGTTACTTCTGCATATTAAGGAACTTCTGTTGAATTTCAGAAAGCTAACAGAGCTGTTTCCTCTAAAATTAAATGTCATAAAAATCTCCTATGAAGGCAAATGCATATATTGTAAATAAACAGCTATTTCACCATGCTGTAATTCAGTTTCACTTTGTTGGTTTTTTATCTCAGTATATACTATAGAACTTGATTTACTCTTTAGCTCCTTTTAGTTCTGAAACTGCTGCTTTAATCCTTACTGCTGCTTTATTATGTAAACTCCTACTACTCTGTCTTTTAGCTTTTGTTGTTGCAGGATTTTTGAGATCATATAAAGAGGCCTGAGAGCTCCTGCTAAATAACTGAAATTCAGTTCATTTTTAGAAAGGAGTCTCCCTTTGAACATTTGCTGTAATGAAGTCCTACTCCCAAAATAAACTTCCATTTCATTCACTA